CCCCAGTGGGGAAAATCAGTATCACCACTTATATAGGAGGGTCAGTGCTGCAAAGTGTGCCCAGTTCCTGGCATATCCGTGCCCAAAATGTGTACTCTGAGTATCACCTCGAGGAAACACAAACTGAATTAAAAGACTATCCAGAAGAATCGCTTTTACTCTCCAAACATGGCAAGGTGAAGAAACAAAGAAAAGTGGAAGGACTTACCTAGAGCAAGGGGACTGCAATCATGTGACAACTTATGCTCAGTGGCTGCCCAAGAAGCCATGTTTCCTTTTGCAGCAAAGGTCATGAAGGGGGCAAATGATGGATTTGAATAAATTCTAGATTATCAGTGTCCGTTATCAGACTTGGTTGTTGGCCTGTGATTGCATCAGAGACTTACCTTGGTTTTAGACACACAAATTGAAATGTTTATTTACTTGAAGTATTTAAGGAGAAGAATTGTGTGCATAGAAAGAAACAATGAGGGAAGATGTTAACATTTGGAAAATCTGGACAAAGATATACAGTAGTGTTTGGTACTATTTTTGTGACTTTAATTCTGATTATTCCAAAATAAAATGTTTTTAAAAGTAGGCAAGGAGGAACATCTGGGTCCCACCTCCTCAGGTTAACATTTAAGAAATAAAACATGCCTTTATGGCTTCTGTTGTCCATCTGGACAGTTCTAATGGACAGAGGGGTTTAAAAAATAGTTTTTACAGTGATGAGCGAAGGAAAGGCCGTTTACTGTCTTGTTTGATAATTACTTCATTGCCCAAATGAAGATTTTTTTCCCCCTGAGATGATTGGAGCTTTGGTTTAAAGAAACTTTATAGCACAATGTCATTTGCTTAATTTCTGAGTCCTCATGAGTAAGTGGGGCTGTGGCCTCTGTTTGATCCTGGCGTGTGTGCTGCTAATGTCTGCTCGCTGTTTGGGGAGCAGCAGGTAGTCAGGAGAAAGCTGCTCCTGGGGTCCTCTCTCCCGTGGCCTGCTCCTCATTTCCCATACAGACCTTGTGAACTTTGGCAGAGGTCACCCTCTATTCTCAGTCTACACTCTGGGTCATAACTTTAAGTGTATGTGATGATAATATCATTGAAGTTATAAACTAAGCCTCAAAGACTAATTACCCCTCCTATCCATTTATTTATTGAAACAGAGCTCAGTTTAAATAGCTTTGTTTTTCCTGGGACATGGAATGTTCAAAATGACAACTTACAAGTACATTGGATGTCTTTGGACAATTGAAGGGTTTTCCCCACTTATCTGAGCTTTTGAACTTTTAGGTATAAAATGATTTTTGATTATTCCTGTTTGACTATAGAACTAAATTTGTAGCCAGTGGAAGCAGCTGGATTGGGTTGTTTGCCATTAGCTATTAGTCCACCACATTGGCCTTAGAAAACAAATCACTGAGATTTGATTTTGCATAGTAATGTGTGATACTTTATTCAGAGACTATTCAGAAAAATACTTCATTCAGAGAAATACTTTGATTTTATTCCTGAAACAACCTTTAGCAAGATAGATATCAGGGTTTTCATGATCTACTTGCTAGGCAAGTGACAGCATTTTCTAATTTCTGCTTTCGAGTAGAAAGATTTTTTAAAGTTCACGTTTCATTTGTGCGCTTGAATGGTTCTGTTCTTTATATCCAAAATGTTAATTCATATTTGCTGATAATTCCTTTGAATGACATTTTCTAAAATCACCTTTTATTGAACTTAGAATATGGAAAAATATAACACTTATCTTATAAAACTGTATAAATTTCAATTTTGCGGGTATCATTAGTCACAAATTGATCTCTGTGAGTCAGAAATTCTTATTTTTGTTCAAATTATCAAGTATGATGTCAACTATTTTGGCCTTGGCCACACAAAGAAAAGTTTTATATCAGTACTAGGCTGTAATAGGAGAACCAGAGTTAAATACAAAATGTAAATATGTGAAGTGATCGGTATTGATTTGTCTGGAGGAGGGAAGGACAAAAATCCTGACAGATTTCCTTTCTAGAAAAGTTATTTACTCCTTATCTAAGAAAGATATAAACAGAAACATTCTGAATTTTATTTATTTTTTTAAAGATATATTTATGCATACAAGAACTGGGGTACAGGCCAGAGGTGTGGGGGAATGAGAGGATCCACCAGAGACAGAGTGGAGAACAGAACAGGCAGATTGACTGAAATACACTGCTGAGGGGAGCAGTGGGCCAGTCCGGAGAGGTCTGCTGAGCCATGGGGGTAGCTCCCTGGCCAGGGATTGAACACGTGCTGCAGTGGCTGCGGACATCTTCATAGGTTGTGTCTTAACCCCTTGCACCATCAGGGAGGCCCACATTCTGAATTTTAAAACTTGAGTCATTTTTTATTGAGGTGGCATTGGTTGACATGACCTAGGGCTAGAAGTACACATCTCCTCAGATATGTCATCACACCTTACCCACCCCCAGCCCCATAATCCTCCATTTGCTCTACACTGACTGCTGTCTGGGTGTTTAATTTGTACATAAAAGCACCTTCTTTGGAAATTATAGTTGCACTTTGATCTTCTAACTTTCCTCCTTTCCAGCTACTCCTGTAGGATCTAGTTTTCCCCAAACTCCAGCTATGGTGTACGAATCACTTTCACGTGGATGGTTCTGGTTATGTTCCTGCTTCCCACGCTGGGATGCCGTTGTGCAGAGGACTCCTCCTACCGTCTGTAATCTGACGGGCTGCAGTAGACTCTGGTGCGGTCAACTCTGCCGCTCTTGTGAGTGCGCCTCTTCTCCTGTCAGCGGGGGTCACCTCACGGGCCTCTAGACTGAACTTGCCCACAAAGAATCGGATTTTCCTTCGCAGCCTGTGGCTTTCCTGTGAATGCTGTTTTCTCTGAGGTTGCAGAAACAAGAAAGTGAGCGCTATGCTTGACTCATCACCTGCCCCCACCCTTTTTGGCCCCACCTTCTTGGCATGTACCTAGCTTGTCTGCCTCCAGAGTCTCTCTCCAGTTGGTGACTTTTCTCTTTCTGCATTCCACACCTGAGCTGTGAGCCAAGGCCTGGCACTTCTCAGCTGTCTCCTCACGAGTCTCCCTGTCAGTGACTGTTAGCATTTTCACTCCCCTCCCAAGACCTTTCCCAAGGCAGCCTGGGTGCTTCCTGGAATGCACAGATCTTCTGATTGCCCTCAAGGTAAAGGAAAATGAGTGCCTGTGGGCTGTTCAGACACCCTGTTCTCTCCTTTGCTCACCCCTCACATGGTGTGTCCTTTCAGTCGTCTTCAGAGCAGTAACTCCTGGTAGCCACTTCCTTTTATAACAGATGTGCCTGAATATGTGACCTACTCCACATACCTGTCTTTGTATCCTGAGTCTTCCTCTATTTTTCCCCCAGCCTGGAAAATTTGTGTGAGTCACGATCCTTCCCTTTTCCTGAAACACCACGTCTGTCATTTCCTCTGCAGATAAATCTCTCTGGCTAGCCACCCCTTTTCTTCTTTAAAATTGCTTTTGGTTTTTGTTTTTTTCCTTTTTATCACCTGGCTTTCAAAGATTCTATTTTAAATTCTTGCCTACCTAGTTGGTCTTTCTAACCTCCTCGCCTATTGTCTTTAATTGCTCCTCTTTGTTTTCATCTATCCAAATACCACCTAAAACTACAGGCAGAGATCACAGTTTTGCAATGATTGGTTGGATATATTGTTGTCTTTGGAAGTAGAGTGTGATAACTGTGGCTCTCTTGGAGATATGCTCTGAAAGATAGTTACTAGATCACTGTCCCCACCTGTAGCTTTCACGGAACATTTGTGTAACTAAAGGAACAGCATTCATATTTGAACTTGGTGACTTTCACTAAATGTTTTGAAGGAGTTTGAATAAATTGACAACTGACTTTTATAAAACTTCAGGCAAATGGTATCATTTGAGTCAGAAGCAGGGGTGCTCAGAACTCAGAGTATGGGGTAGTATAAAGACACGCGTAGAGAAATGCCTGGAAGGATGAATTTAGCTGTTAACATTGGTCAGCTTAGAAATGGGAAGTGATATGGAAAAGATAAACCCTTCTCCTCCATGCACTGCGTGCAGGGTAGCCTGAGGTAACAAGGGTTTTTGAAGACAGCATAGAAGGTAGAAATGTATTTCTCATGAGCACTGTGGCTGCTCCATGGTGATGGAAGCCCCTAGGAAGGGGGAAGGAGAAGTACAAACAAAGCAGTTCACAGGTATGACAATTCTGTTTGTTCCATGTCCTCACCAGCACTTGGTATTACCCATTTTTTAACATTTAGCCACTTAAATTGGCATTTGGGGAGTTTCTTCGATATTAATGATGTTCAATATTTTTTCCTGTTTGTTGATCATTTGTATGTCTTTTGTACAATGTTAGATCAAATTGTTATTATTTTGCTCTAAGTGTCTTGATATGTTCCAGTTATAAGTTCTTTGTCTGATATAAGAGTTGTGACTATGCCCTCAAAGCCTGTGACTTGCCATTTCATTTTCTTAACCATATCCTTTGAAGGGAAGACTTAGAAATGTTGATAAAGTACATAATCTGTTGATAATCTTTTTATGGTTCATTTGTGTATTAAAAATCTGTTACTTGCCTCAAGGCATCAGATCCCCACCATCTCCTCCCGTATTTTCTCTAAATCTTAAAGTTTTACATTTAAATTTGTGGTCCAGTTTGAGTTAATTTTTGTGTATATTGTGCTTAGGGTTGAGGTTCATTTTCTTTTTGCCCCAAGTACATAGTTAACTGTTCCAATACCATTTATTGAAAAGACATTTATTCCCTCATTGAGTTGGCTTGGCAATCATAAGCTTCTTAAGCTTATATTTAGTGTCTTATTGTTTCAAGTTCAGATATTTTTTGTTGTTACTTGAAAATGAGATCAACAACCTTGTGTGGGTCTTGCTAAATCATAGGACTTTAGTAATAACTTTCTTCAGTTAAGAAGTTCAGAATTAGATTTTTAGCTGATTCATTGTTCTCTTATTCAGCCCTGAAATCTTTTATTTTTAGGTGTTACACATAATATTTCTTTACTTCGAGAGGTGATAATCAACTCACGCTTTGTGAAAGGAGACATCAACACTAAATTCCTCGCTGATGTGTATCCTGAAGGCTTTAAAGGTTTGTATGCATTGGAGTCTTAGTTTAATAAAGTTGGGTTTTATACTATAATGTATAATTTTTTTTATTTTGAAATTAAGGCCTTTGGCTTAATTTATTGACATTTAGAGTATCCAAGACTATTGACGTTCACAATTCTTAGTGTTCACTAATGACTCATGAATGTGTGGTAATCTGTCATTATGTTGAGTGAGGAATTCAACCCTGAATGTTGTGTGGGTCCAATTTTCAAGCAAAATGTGTAGGCAGAGCATTAGCCTGACTGACTTTCTACTTTTTGGAAGTTAAATCGGATTCGTATTTCATGCTGATGTGAGTATATGCAGGAGCACTTCTTTAATGATTAAAACTATATCTTTATGAAAATTAGCACTGAAAATTTCAGAATACCAGATGCTATCCCTATTAGTGAAAATGAAGATGCCTAAGAAGTTAATGGTTTTTATTCTGATAAATGGAGTTTTGACTAGAATAATGAGTGGAATGTGGAAGTTAGCACTGCAAAGTTATTAGTGCATGTTTCCAGGTAATAGAAAATTTGCTCACCAAGTGAGAGACAGAGAAGACCCTTTAGTGAGCATTGGAAATATGGTCAACATGTAACATTAAGAAACTGACAGGACTTACTTGAGACTTAATGAAAATGTTATTTAAGGGAAAGCCAAGAATTTCTAAATTTCTAACAAGCTTGGAGATATTTGAAGATTAGATATTTTCTCACAAATTTCAAGTGTTCATTATAGCCCTTTAAAAGTGTATAAATGACTCAGTCACATTGGGAGTTGTACATCAGCTCAGGCCCACTTCATTTAGTTGAGCTATCGAAATATTTACAAAGCAATTTCCTGTGTTAGAATTTGCAATGCATAGTTTTCATAAAACTAACTGGAGATTTTAGATTTGATTGTTCTTTGAAAGCTTAGTTACGGGATTTTATCATTAGGCTCAAGGGAAATGAAGATTGCTTTTTATTTGGGATCTTAATACAAAAAATAATCAGCAGTTCCTTTTTCCTGAACTTTTGAATTTTTAATAACATAAAACAACCATAACATGATTGTAGTTTTACACTTATGTGATTGTTTCATTAATACTGTTGGTTTCATGAAGACAGGAGCCACTTATGTTATTGCCATTTATTGTTTCCCTGGCAACTGGAACATAATAGACTCAAAGTAAACAGTGTTTAATTAATGAAAAGAATCTTGCCATAGTATCGACAAGAAGGGACTACTTGGTGCATTTTTAATTAATTGTACATGTATCCAGATTACCAGTTCACTCTATCTTGTTCTAACCTTCTGGCCTCTTATGCTTTCAAAGTGTTTAATTAAAAGTTTTAGTAAGTTGTGAAGTGGACTCAGAATTTCCAGATGCTTTTATGTCTGCCTGACTAATGTATCTGTGAAGATGACAGGACGTGAAATGGTCAGCAGAAGGAGACAACAGGTAGCAGTTTCAGGGAACCTTTTAGACTGCCGTACTGTGTGCATGCATGGATATCTATGTATACTTACGTTCACACAATTGTCTCTCTCTAAGCATATACGGGTTCATATCCCATTACCATAGAGGAGAAAGTGGGCCATTTATAGTATCTAATCAGAATTGATTCCTATGTGCTGTACATTAGCAGCAATAGAGAATGTTTCAGTGGAAAATGCTCCAGTCAAGAGAACTTAGAAATTTACTTAAAGTCTAGTATTAAAGCTTTCCATGACAAACTTAATAGATTACGTTTTTTTTTTTTTTTTTGGAAGGGAATTATCAGCTTGGACTCTGATTCTGTTTTTTTGTGCTTATGAAAGATAGGAACACCATTTTTAAAATTGTTATTAGTGAGTAGAAAGACCATTAGCAATTAGTTAATTTCAACCTTCATTTTACGTGTCAGGAAACCAAGTCCAGAGAAATTGATAAAGCTAAATGACCGGTAATATGATAAAGTCAGGAACTGAACTGGACTTTTCAACTTCTGTTGCAGTATTCCTTCAGTTGTGCCCTGATTCACATTCGTAAATCAGGCATTTCCAGAGCATGATATATGTTATCTATAGATATGTTATCTATCTATTTTTGGAAAAGGAAAACATTCAGAGACTCTTTTATAATCTTCCATATGTAATTTAAAAAACATATGTATTATGCATCAGCATCAGGGCAATTTTGGAAGTTAGAAAATGAAATTTTAAAGTGTGGAAAAAAAGCACACACCTCTATTTGTCATTCTTAACGTCCGCCTCTTATTTTAGTCCTCATTCTTTTCATGCCAGCTCTTTTCTGAATGGCCATTGTCTGTTCTTCACGTTCCTCCTCTTTGCCTTTCCCCTTCCCTCCAGAGCATGTCTTAGATATATTAAACTATATTATCTTGGTTGTTTGATATATGTGCCTAGAGAGACAGCAGGAAGTGGCAACTGAAGTTAATCCAGGATCTTCTCCATATGTTTGAGGCTGGGTCATTTTGCCCCTTTGGGATTACCCATCTGCTTCCCATCTGTCCAGCTATCCTAGGCACTATTCATAGGCAAGTGCCTGGTTTGGTGTTTTTTTTTTTTTTTTTTTTTTGACCATGTTAAATTTTTCTATTATATATGTTTATTATCCCAAGTTTATTTGTAGACTAAGACAGTGTTAATAAAGGTTCTTAGAATGAACTTTGAAATATGTCTAAAATTTAGAAATAGGAGATGTGAAATTTGTTCTTCATATTAGTTTATTAGGTTCTAGTGTTGAAGAGCCTTATTTTTTTCCTGAAAAATAAAGGGAAAATGGGGGAATAGGTACTTTGATTCTAAAATAAAGGGAAAATGAGGAAGAAGATATTTTAAGAACTATTATTTCAGTTGGCCTGTAATGAACAATGCATAGTTTGGGCTAAAACGACCAGCCCCATCAAAAGAAGTGGTCAGGATGATCTTTGTCTTCTGGTAAGCAGCAGTCATAAAGTTATTCAACAAATAATTGATTTCAGTTCTAGAAGAGACTCGAAGACAAAAAATGTATGTCTCCTTCAGAAGTTTCTATCACAGAGACAAACATGTGAAGAAGTAGCTACATTAATGGACAGAGTAAAATAAGTGCTAAGTGAAGATATAAAGGATTTGAGAACAGAGGAAAAAAAACCAATTCTGATTTGGGGCTCAGGCGAACTATCTGCTGTAGGTGCTGGGGCCACCAGACTGCCCCTGGGCCCCCTATGCACGGCTCCTCCTAGTCCACCCACTCTGGTGTGACCTTGGAGTTTGAAGTCAGCCCTGGAGATGTGTTTACAGCAGGGAGCCGGTGGCTGCTGCACATGAGCTTGCCCCCCCCACCCCACTCAGTTGTTCTACATTTCCCGGTAACTGCTTCCTAACCCCTCACCTGACTGTTGGGTGCAAACACAGCCGTGAGTGTACAAAGGAAAAGAAGGGTACATGGAGGGAGCAAACCCTGGGGGGCCCTCTGAGGCGGGGCTCCGTTGTTGGAGATGCTGGTGTGGGAGGCACCCGGCTGAGCTTACTGAGAAATAAAGCCCTTAAGGATCTGGATTGGAGGAGAAATACATTGTTGA